TTTTCCCAGTCCTTTTGTTAATCTATTTTCTTTCAGGAAAAAACCAAGTTTATTAATGAACTTGAGAGGCATAAGGAGGCTTTGAAACAGTTATCCAATGAAGTCGAAAAGCTTAAGATTGATCTGAGCAATCTTCCTGAGGTGATGGCAAAACAATGTTTTTTATGTTCATGTTCTTATCACTTTTATTTTTTGTTGGTCATTTATTTTCAGCATAGCAGTTCTCATTGTGCTGTTGAATATATTTTCTGTGTAATCTTCTTATTAGGGATTGAATGCGGCTCAACTTTTTTCTGGATCCAGTGTTGATGACTTTGTTGCTCCATATGTATCTGCTGTTGAAAATTTTGAGAAGGAATCTCAGTCTATGTTTTCTGAGCTTGGAGGTCGTGGAAATCTTGGAGATACATCAACAGTACCAGACAGTTCAGCAACTGCTACAGGTGCATTTATTAACTCTACTTATAATGTGCACATGAAGATTTTAGAAAAACAATTTATCCCTTATCATGTCTTGTGTTTCAGATTTTGTTCTCTTCAGAGCCTTAGTTATATTAAAATTATTTCCAAGCCTTAATTTATAATGGAACAGTTACTTCATTCTGAGAGTCCTCAAGCTTGAATTCCTATTCAAGCATTCAATTTTTGTTTGTTGCAAGCAATTAATCCAACAATCAACCGGAATAATAACATGCACAACCATAATGTAATACATCAAATAAAAGTCAGTCGTACTGCATTGGTGAGCTACTGTCCATAGTCTTGTTCTGTTAAAAAGCAATATATACATAAGATGCACTCCAGCCAACTATATACAGCAAATACAAGTCCAAAAATGTAATATGTAGCAAACAGAGACAACTACTAGGTACATGTCTCAAAACTATACATCATTACCCCGTGTCTCAGACAAACATACCTCAGTTAGTTCACATGTGCAAAGTTATTGTAGCTATAGATGCAGATAGAAAGGGTGGATAAAATATGTTAGATAGAAATAAGACAAATTTTCTATAGTTGCCAAGAAAGGTTCTCCACATAAGCTAATCTTATATCTCTGTATATATTTATGGAATGCCTATACATGGCAGGTTCTCTAGTCCATGCTCAGCCCCCTGGCTCTACATCCTTGCTGGTCCCTGGAGAAAGCAGTTTACCACCTAAATCCATGGGAGATAGTGAGAGGAGACTTGCATTGCCCAGAGCTGGTGTTGACGCCCGTAAAGCAGGTAGGAGATTGGTCAGGCCTCGTCTAGTAAAGCCTGGCGAGCCACAAGGTGATGCAGAAATGTCTGATGCTGAAGGACCTGGGGGAAAGCCTGGGCCTTCTGGTGACACAGAATCCCAAAGCAGTGCCGCTCTATCGTTTCAACCATTAGCTCGTAAACGCGTTGCTCCTACACCCTCTTCTGAATTACATGAAGAATCAGCCACACTTGAGAAGAGCTCTGATGTAGTTGCACCAGTTTTGAAGAAGTCAAAAGGATCAGAGTCCCCTGAAGTGAGTGCTGAAGAACAACCTGCTGCAACTCCAGAATTCACTGGAAGTCATCCAATCAATGAAGAATCATTTGATGGGGGTGAATTACCACAAGGCCAAAATGAGGAAGCCGGTGAAGCTCAGAATGAAGATGGCGAGTTTGCTGTAGACAGGGATGAGGAATCCAAGGATCCACAGCACATGGATGATACTAGTCAAGAGGAATTACATGGTGACAGAACCAGCATTTTAGAAGAGAATCTGGACCAACCAGCTGAAACAAAAGTGGTGACTGATGATGTGCAAAGGGATCACAGGGAGCCAGACAACCAACAGTCAACATTGGCACCAGGTAGTGAGAGAGAAGAGGGAGAAATGTTTCTAGACAGTGGAGATCTTGAAGGTGGTAGTGATTTATCTAACATCGCTGAAAACCAAGATTCCCGTGAAGGTCAACCAGAGCCTGCTGCAAGCCCCGAACCTTCTCCGGCGAGGGCTGATGATGAAGCTCTAGAGGCTGGTGAGATTTCTCCTGAACGTTCAATGGATGATAAGATCGATGAGGGTGACATAGTCGAGGAGAGTGTTGATGTTACTGACCCAACTGTAGTTGAAAGTGATCAGGTTGCCGACCCAGCACCTGTTGCAGGTGAGAGCAGTTTAACAGGTAGTGCTGCAGAAACTAGTTCCTCAAAAACGAACTTGCCTGTTCCAAAGCAAGGGACTAACTCTGAAACAGAAGATACAAAGCAGCAGCAGGCATCACCTCCTAGTATGTCAACAACCATTAACTTGTCTGAGAGAGCCCGCCAGAGGGCTCAGTTGAGAGAAGCTGGTAGAGGTCGTGGAAGAGCATCTCCTCGTGGTCGAGTTCTTCGGGGTCGAGGCAATCAAGGTGGACGTAGAGCGCCACCATCTGGCAATGCCTGAAGCAACAAATTCTGCCATCTATAATTGGATGGTTAAAGAAATTATTTGACTTGGCATTGGTCTTTTAATATTTAGTAGTAAATTGGGATCAGTTCAACTGTAAATACAATTTCATTATCCATCAATTCTCCTTTCCTTCAAATGTTGCCTTTCTATTTATCTGGATTTACATGTAAGAATGATCATTTTAAACCTAGTTAATCCTTAATGATCTACTAAATCTTTTTTGTTGCATATTGTCAAAAATCTGTAATACCAAAACAAAAATCCATTAAATTCTTGTAAAAAAATCAGTTTGAAGAAATTGTAGAATCATGAATGGAGCATTTAACTTTAACTTGGCGTGTGTTTGGTATTGATTAAGTTTTTTTTTTCAGTTTATAAACTGTGGGATTATAAACTATTATATTATTAATTGTTAAGATTATAATCTGTTTATGTTTGTGTACCTTAGTTGAAAATTGAATATAAACTAATCTGTTTTGTTTGAGTAAGGTAGAAATATTGTTTTTTACATAGTAAATTACAGAAAAATGTATGAGGTTATTTGTTTATGTTATGATTATTTTGGTTGTTTTTAACTATATTTTTTAAATATTTATCATCATATATTTTTACTTTAATTTTGTAATATTGCATAACAAATGCTAAAAACATATATTAAAATAAAATACAATATAAAAACTAATATTAACTATGTATGTTTGGCAATTAAATGAAGTTTATAAACTTAGTTTTTTTCCTGAAAAAATAAGCCAAAAGTATAAGCTCCAAAATCATAGGTTGATTTATTTTTTTTAGCTTATTTTTTCCCAATTTTTCTATTTCTCATTTTACCTCATCATAACTTTATTTCTCTCATCATTTTTACTTTTTTACCAAACACCATAACTCCTCACATCATCACCACCAAACTTCATAACTCTCATATTCTTCTCTCTCTATCACCACTCAACCTTGTAATTTCCCATAACATTTTTGTTATATGTACACGAACAAAAAATTATGAATAAAATTTTGTTATATAATATTAAAATTTTGTGAATTATGTATAAATTCAATAAGCCCGATTTTTTTTTTCATGAAACTTAACATTTATGTAATATTTATTTTGTGAATTATGTAATTTAAGTTTAGTAACTTCCATTTATTTATGTGATATATTATTTTTAATATTGATATTGGTTTTTATATTGTATTTTATTTTAATATTTTTATTTAGCCTTTGTTATTATGCAATATTAAAAATCATGGGTTGATTTATTTTTTTAGTTTATGTTTAACTATATATGAGGTTAATTGTTTATGGTGATCTTATGTTGTTTTTTTAATATTAATATTAGTTTTTATATTGTATTTTATTTTAATATATGTTTTTAGCCTTTGTTATGCAATATTACAAAATTAAAGTAAAAATATATGATGATAAATATTTAAAAAATAATATTAAAAACAACCAAAATAATCATAACATAAACATATAATCTCATACCCTTTTCTGTAATTTACTATGTAAAAAACAATCTTTCTACCTTACCCAAACAAAACAGATTAGTTTATATTCAATTTTCAACTAAGGCACACAAACATAAACAAATTATAATTTTAACAGTTAATAATCAAATAGTTTATAAACGGAAAAGAAAAAAAACTTAATCCATATAGCTCGAGACAATATATTTTCTTGATTCCTTAAAGGTATCCCAATTGATGTAATTAAATAATTCCCTCATGTGAAGATAATAAGAACCCCACAACTGGTCGATATTGGTTTGTCTGGCCAGTTACAAAAATGCTTTCAAATACCCCAAACAGTGGGACATTGAATAAATAAATGAGTTATTTGATCAATTTATTGCCACAAAAGACACAGTACCGCAAATAGGTGCATATGGTTGAACAGCATTTGAATGAGAATGAGATCCCAAAGTATGTTGTCTTGCATACCAACTTCCATTAATAAAAACATTAATAATAAATGTCAGTTAAATGGGCTCAACTAAAACAAAAGTTAATTTTCCGACTTATAATCCTGCAGGAATAATTTTATTTTTAATGCAATATTTATATACTATTAATATCAATATTTATACATGACTAAATATAAACAATGACAATCATAATATATAAAACTCGTATACTTTTCTTCTTAAAAACTTAAAATATCATAGCATGTATATGTGGGAACAGTTTGAGCAGAGAGGATGCGTGCAATCAAATCAAAGTTCAATTGATGTCATAATTCTTCAAAATATCTTCATTTTGAAAGGCAACAAATTTTAATCTGGCACTAACCATTTCGGACACACTACAAATTATGCATATTTAGTTTGTCGGTGTTATTTGTAGCACGTTTACCTGTAACTATTCAATATCCTTATGAAAAATTAATCACATCGGAATGTTTCCGCGGCCGAATACATTTCGAATTTGATAAATGCATTGCTTGTGAAGTATGTGTTCGTGTGTGTCCTATAGATCTACCCGTTGTTGATTGGAAATTGGAAACGGATATTAGAAAGAAACGATTGCTAAATTACAGTATTGATTTCGGAATCTGTATATTTTGTGGTAACTGTATATTTTTGCCACAGGGTAAACCACCGCCTCTCAGGCCCCGACTGATTCTACCATAGAGGCCAACGATAGACAATAACTCCCCCCCGAACACAGCTTACAACTTTCATCGTACTGTGCTCTCCAAAGAGCAACTCTTCTCAAAATCTCAAAAGGTGCTGAGTTGGAATCCCATTCTAACTAAGGATTCTTGTGGTTCCAGAGGATCCAGCTACAGGAGAACCGGGAACGGAGAGCCCCCCCCCCTTTTTTTTCTGCCCGACTCTTTGGTATTAAGAATGCTGGTTTTAAGAATTTAAGAATGAGTGATTGCCCTTCTCCGACCCTTCCTGTCCAACCTGAGAGCGGGTAGCTAATGCGTTCCGCTTTTTTTTTGAACAGGGTTCTATGGTCGGTCCGCGACCCCCGGGATGCCGAAGGCCTCCTTGGGGTGATCTCGTAGTTCCTACGGGGTGGAGACGACAGGGTAAGTTTTCGATGAGATCTTTAATTTGAATAATGTCCTAACAAAAAAAAATTAAGAATTTAATTTATTGGAAAACAAGAATTTGAACATTTTAAAAATTTATAAGATCAGATAAGTCTTACAGCGTGAATCCTCGATTCAAATATTGATATTGAGATTTTTTGATAGACAAGAAAAATTGTCAAATCAGACCAAATGCATCGGATCAAGTGGGAAGTCAAAAACCAGTAATAATATATCATCTTATAAAATTCGTCTGTACATAATAAAATAACATATATAACTTGTAAATCAATTATGAACTAACAAAATATTATTTTATAATATATATTATTTTTCTTATGGTGTATGAGAATTTGCACAAGTAAATGATCTGATCATCTTTCACTCTTTTTGGGTAAATGTAGAATGTCACATTCCATATTTAGTTTATAAATCATACCCGTTATGGTTATCCAACAAATTCAACACTCAATTTCAAATTACTAAGCACTAACTTTAAGAAAACATATAATAATATACTCCAAATACACCACCGGTCTAAGGCCAAGTCAATATGGTAATGGCTTTAGGCCCCAAGTTTTTTTAAATAGTAGTTTAAAAGAATAGAAATAATAATTACTTGCTAAATAATTCTAATTTATTATATCTAATTGAATATTTCTAGAAAAGCCTCTTCGCTTATGATTTCCCCTCTTCTCATAAATATTATATTAGTTATGTATTAAATTGATTGCTATTATTGAGTTGTATTGTATCATCTTTACATTTGGTTAAATTTCATATAAAAACTAAATTTCAATAAAATTATAATTAGTTAACCATTTTTAGAGAAAAAAGTATGCACTAAGAGTGTATAACAATGCATAAATATTACTTTTTTATGGAAGATAAAAAGATCTTAACTTATACTCCACCTTATGTCTCAATAAAATAAACTTTGGGTCACCAAATAATGCATGATTACAAATTTCCAATTCCAATAATTTTCCACTATCATCCATTAGAATCCCATCATTTTCAACACATTACTGTTGAGGTGTCCCTATCATGGCATTTGTTATAATGTTAAATTCGTCAACTACAAGAAAATGCAACAATACTCCAATAACAAGTAACCAAACTTAACATATATATGTGCAAAACAAAAAATATATACTAAATGAAGTAAAAGACATGTACTTTCATGGCACTATGTAAATACCAATAAGCTAAGTCTATCCACTTCTTAAACTCCTTTAGTTTTGTACAATTTTGGAATCCACCCAACATTTAATTTCCATGGATGATATTATTCTTTTGTTTTTTTTTTCCTTCTAAAGCATCAACAAGAATTTTGTTTAGAATTCCAATATGTTAATTTGATAAGCACTTTTTACTTTATAGTTCAGATTGCAGTGTGTAATGCACTTCTGATATGGCAGGGTCCTGAGCAAAATCATTAACCCAACATTGTTTTCAGTCCTTTATTACTTTCTCTACCAACTTGGGATCCTCCTTGTTCTTGGTACTTGATAGATCTACTGACTCAAGTGCAGTGCTAAGTTCATCTATGTGCTGCCAAAAAAATTACATAATATGTTAGTAGAGATTTAAAGCATTTCATAATAACGGTATGGATCTATGCATAAGTCTCCCACTTAGTGGAGTCTAGAGATGGTAGATGTATGCAGCCTTATCCCCACATGCGGAGAGGCTTATTTTCAGGATTTGAACTTGTGACCTCATGACCACTAAACAACAATCTTATTGTTGCGACAAGGTCACCGATCTGAAGCATTTCATAATAATTAAATAAAGAACTTACATTATGAATTTAATGTCAAGCATAGCATAACATGCTCCAAAGTCTAAAAGATCTATTTGTTTATGAAATTCCCATACTCCATCAACTTTGGAATCTTATTACCACTTGCATTTATCAAATATTGCAAAAATAATTCTAACTCCTCCAGACATTATTATTCTGATGTGTAAAGAATAGCATAACATGCTCCAAAGTTTAAAGAGCTATTTGCATATGAAATCCCTACTCAATTATTTTGTAAAGAGTATCAACTTTAGAATCTTATCAAATACTTGGCATGGCACTAGTAAAATATTGCAAAACAATTCAAGCTCTTCCAAATAGAATTATTCCAATATGGTCCCATTAAGACATGCACTCACTTATCCAGATCGGAGCACATCTGTTGTCCCACAAAATGTGTCACTCCATGTGCCATTGCTTATGACTGGTTGAAAAAATGTAAATAATTAAGTATTTTCTGACCAATCAATAGCAGTGGCACATGGAGTGGTACACTTTTTAGGGACGGAAGATGTTCACCCGATTCAGAGACACTGATATCAATTATATAAAAGAAAAGTGGGAATCAATGATTTTCTATACTTGGTAAGAGTCTAGTATTAAGATGGCAGTATAAGACAATACTTGTTCACTGGTATGGGGCATGGATTGTCTTACTTTCTTCTCCTGCATTACCTTCTGTCGGCTTTCATAAAATTCGAAGTCGTCTAATATGGATGTTTTTGCCACATAGTTCTTGAATATATTGAGCATTTCAACACCATGTGGAAAACTCACCTGAAAGTGGAAACATACAAGACAACAACAGTAAGCATTCGCAATAAATCACAGACAAATCGGTAAGCAATTGCTTTACGGAAACATGAAAAATGAAGACCTCTTGTGTATCTCTACTATTTGTGACAGGCTTGTGATCATTATTCTCAAGTATTATATGGCGTAACAGAGGATTTGGAACATCTTTTATGATGTGCCATTTGACAGGGAAATATCCATTCCATTTATCTTGTTGCCAAAAGTCCATGCTTTTATTGAAGTCAACAGGTCCAATCATTTCAGCAATTCCACAAAATTGACCGCTAGCATTGACCTGAAGTCAAACAATTACAACAAAAAAGTGAGAGGGTATCATTCTTATCTGTCATGATTTAAATTGAGATTGAACTCTACACGTACCGAAAAGAAAAGGAACACAGGGCACTTGTTTCCTTTGTCTTCCATCCGCTTCTGTGCATCCTGAAATGCACTGTCCAGTCGCTTATTGCCATTAGGAGTACTAGCCCAAACATTGTACTTAATGCTCTTATGTATATCATCTTCACTGTATGATTTGATGACAAAAAATAGTGCGTGATCATATTTGGTTGGAAAATCTGGTAGGTTATATTGATCTATCCTGATTTTGCTGCTGCCAGTTCCACTTCCATCTACAGGCAAGGATCCCGCTGAATTATCTCCGGATATTGACGCACCTTTTGCATTAGACGTTCTAGGACCCTGATTCTGATCATTAAGTGGACCACCAACCTTGCTTCTCAGTTTTAACTTATCAGTACTAACCCAACCCTTTGTGTTTGACTTCACATTAAGCAAGTTGTTCGGATAAAGGAATCCAGTCTTTCCTTGATTGTATGCGGGAAATTTGGTAATGGGCAAGCAGCCCTTTGCCGTCATATCTGAATGGAGAATTGGTGCCTGAGAAACATTATAAGCTCATTAGAATAGTTGAATGTTAGATAAACAGCACGTCAGAATGCAGAAGTAAGATTACCTTGTTTACATGTTTTGGCTGGATGCGGTTCGCATGAGTTGAGGAGACATCTAACAATGTCGAGGAACCCTTCACTTCTGATTGGTTGCTAAGGTTAGGTGGAGGTGCAGACTTGGACACAAAGCTATTTGCATGATTCTGTGAAGAAAAATTAGATCTACCACTTGGTTTCCCGGTAATTTCATTATAACCGTTTCCTTGTGACCCATCTTGCATGGTTCGAGACGAATCCCACGTGTATGCTGACGGCATAAACTCGCCATAAGGTAGAGAAGCTGGAAAATATCCGGGTGAACCAAGGGGTTGTTGAATGATTGAGCCAGGGGGGTACACATACTGTCCATCAACAACTGTTGGACTCAGAGGAAAGTACGAAGAGTAGCCAGTCTGATATCCTGGCATGAGATAGACATAAGATCCATTATCTGCTTGCATGACCTAAATAAAGCAACAAAAAAGGGGAAAAAATGTATTCAGAGATCAAATAAACATAGGAAAACATTAAAAGGATCGGTATCATGACCAAAATTAAGAAAATAAAGAGCTACATATTAAAATCCCTTTTTTCTTTCAGGAAACCTCTTTTCCCTGAATCCAAAAGAGTTGTTAAGAAAGGATGTCAACAACTTATGTGGTAGTTAAAAAAACCAATAACCATATTTTCATGTTTGATAATATATGACAAAAGAAAACAATTACACAGGTTACATTCAAGCAAAAATCAAATCCAATCCCAAATGAGTGTCACCCCTTGTTTGATTCATGTTTGGATCCCAAATGCACAAACAAGAGACAGATAGAGAAATTTAAATCAATCATGTTGAAAAATTCACAAGGATCATCTATTTTTATACTACTTTGCCTAAGCAAGAGAAATTATCAAATTATAAGTACAGTACCAATTAATTTACACAGGCATCACTTGCATGGCCAAAATTGCCGAGATATGCAACAAGTCAACCATATAGAAAGGCCCAACAAAAACATCAACGGCACAACGAAACACGAATCAGCTAAGGATACTTACAGGATACTGAAGATCCATTGCATCAGCACCAACATAGTATCCTTGGCTGT